TTGGATTCAAACTGCTAATATGGATCATTGTTAACGTTTAGTCTCCACTACAGAAACACTAGCTAACTGCTAAAGTCTGATAAGGTTGTCTCATAGCTGCTTAGTACAAACTGGCCGTCACCACATTGTGACCTCTGACCAGCTTCACTGAAGCGACGCGATGTGTGACGAGAAAGGATCTGAAAGATGAGTGAACACAAACAAAAGCTTTGACCCAGTTCTTCCCCATTAACCCTTTATGATCCAGAGACAGCACGCCTGACCTGTTCCACTGTTAAACTGCAGAATAAGAAGGTCACATTACAGAGGTCCTCCACCCTGAAACGTGTTCATTGAGCTGTGAACTGAACTGAAATGTCTCAACACACCCTCTACTGTACCTCGACTGTTTGGGATGACTTTACGTCAGACATTTCTATAAAAACAGAGTTAACTTCCTTGGCCCAGAACTTCCTGTGGACAGGTAGAACAGTACTTTAGGATAAAGGAGGTCTACCAGAGCTCCTCTGATCCCAGTGAAACCAGCAACTCTAATGGGTAGATTAAAGATGGAGGTCACAGGATCCTGTTCTGTAGAACTTCAGCAGAGGAAGTAACACAAAGAGGGAAGTTAGCACTGTCTGTAGGTGTGGACCCTGAGGGCCTGTTCAGACCTGATCACCCAGTGACCACTTCTGATCTCACTTCCCCTCTCAGACTGTACTATAGTCTGTTTATTACAGCCAGTTCCTGTATTTCAGTTCAGCTCCACACTGAACTCAGCTGTCGACTGGACACCCTGTTATTGATGTTTTCACCTCACAGATGAGGAAGGAAGGAATTATTGTCACAGAGAGTGAAAGTGAGCGTCTCTGCTGCCGAACGTCAAACTCATTCATTCATTAAATTTTTTTACAAGAAGGTCCAAATAATTAATACGTTTCATCATATAAAGGTAGTTCTGTGGTTCTGGGTCTGTGGTTCTGGTTCTGTGGTTCTATGGTTCTATGGTTCTATGGTTCTATGGCTCTGTGGTTCTGGTTCTGGTTATACTGCTCCGTGGTTCTGTGGTTCTGTGGTTCTGTGGTTCTAGTTCTGTGGTTCTGTGGTTCTGTGGTTCTGGTTCTATGGCTCTGTGGTTCTGTGGTTCTATGGCTCAGTGGTTCTGGTTCTGGTTCTGTTTTTTCTGTCTCTGTGGTTCTGTGATTATGTGGTTCTGTGGTTCTGTGATTCTGGTTCTGTGGTTCTCGTTATGTGGTTCTGGTTCTTACCTGACTGGCTTTGAGGATGTTGATCTGCTCCTCGTAGACAGTGTCTCTGTTCTTCTCCAGAAAGCCTTCACACTGATACTCCACCTGCCAACCCAACAGTCAACATTAAATTCAATGTTGTAATGTGTTGGTGTTGTTGTTGGTGATGTTGGTGGTGTTGGTGGTGTTGGTGTTGTTGGTCGTGTTGGTGGTGTTGGTGATGGTGGTGTTGGTGGTGGTGATGTTGTTGTTGGTGTTGTTGGTGTTGTTGGTGGTGATGGTGTTGGTGTTGGTGTTAGTGTTAGTGTTGATGTCAGTGGTGGTGATGTTGGTGGTGGTGTTGATGTTGGTGGTGTTGGTGTTGACATTGTGTTTATGTCAGTGGTGTTGATGTTGGTGGTGATGGTGGTGTTGGTGTTGTTGACGT